AAGGGCCAGGGAAGGTCCCAGCCAAAAAAAAAAAAAAAAAAAAAAAAAATCCGAAAAAAAAACTATTTTATGCAGAAAAATAAACTGAACAACTTTTGCCTCAGGGTCACATCGAAATTCCTTACCAAAGTTAAAATAAACATTTAAATTACTAAATTAGAAAGTAATTTTTATTTTTTCAATTTTTTTATTTCTTTTTGGCCCGGCCGGGCAATTGGACCCGGGCCACAATGGGGTAGCCTAGGATTTTACATCAATCTTTGCATGCTATGAAGATGAATGTTTTTTTTTTTTCTTTCCCTGTTCTTAAACGTTTGCTTTTCTGCTGTTGTTGTGGTGCAGAAGTATCACATGAGTCATCACTTCAAGAATACAGATGCCGGCTTCGGCATTACGACCTCCTTCTGGGATCATGTGTTTGCTACATACCCGACGAATTTGTACAAGTCGTGAAGAAGTTGGACCCGACGAATTTCGCTACATGCCCGACGAATTCGTACAAGTCGTGAAGAAGTTGGAGTGGACATTCATCGGAACTGTGCGGCGATCGGATCATCATTGGGACAATTGCGTCCATGGGATGATTGTATGGATGCATGGGACCGTCAGATGTCGGGATGATCGTAACTGTGGGATGATTGGTTCCGTGGGTCTATGGGACAACTGGGTCCATGGGACTGCCGCATGGATCCGTGGAACAAACAGATCCTGCGACATGATGGCTCACCGGAAACAGAGGTAGGTTGAGCTTACCGGAGATGACACACGGTCAAGTGCTGTACTTACGTGATAGCCGGCGGGCGGGAAACTTGAGAGAAGTTGGCGGTACGAGAGAGAAAGCATGACTGGAGGAGATGGATACTTGTCAAATTTTGTAGTGTTTTGTTAGGGTCAGTTATGTACTGAATAGAAATCCTAGCATGATTAGCATGATGAGGTGACAGCGAATAGCGAACCCTCTTCGATTCTCCCTGTGTGTTCATGGGGCAGTTCTCCACGCACCCCCGCACCTTCCATTAGGTCCCCACACCGTACACGAAGCCAAGTGGTGGCTTACGTCTGTGTTATAGGCGGAAATGAAAGTCTTGGGAACCAACCGGACAAACTTAGGTTGTGCCGAAACCGGTTTGGACGACATGGGACAGACGTAGCCACACTCCATAGGTGGGGACCGGAGCAACCAACCCTTTCTTTCTCTATGGGTTGTTGTGGCAGACATAGCCCTGCTTGATCTGTTGAGACAAAAATAGCCACCATGTTTGGAATATACATATCTGGCACCAGTGAGGCTCAGCAACCCTTGCGAAGAGAAATAGAAATAGTCGGGCCTCGGCACACTTGAGGCCATTCAGGAGGAGCCCTTACATACAAAGGGTCAGGCCTCAGCACACTATGTTTATGTTTTGACAACTGAAAATACAAAGCCCGGCGCCCGCTCTGTTTGGAGTCTTTCTTTGCCATCCATCTGGAGTCGGTCTAATTGCCGCAAAAAAGCCTACATGAAACACTGTTAAAAGAAAAGAAAGAAACAATAAGCCGTAAGCACAGACGGCGGTCCTGAAATCTGTCAAATAGATAAAGCGAATACGTACAAGCTGGTGGGAGTAAGTTGCAGCATGGACACTACAGTTGGAGCAGTCTTCGACGTCCCTAACACACACCACCCACACGTTTCTCTCTCTCTCTCTCTCTCTCTCTCTCTCTCTCTCTCTCTCTCTCTCTCTCTC